AGAAATGGACAAATTAACCTTGGCATTAAAAGATAAAGACACTTCAATATATTATGACAGCTGGAACTGTTGGTACAAATGGATAGACCAAAGATAGATTTCACATTAAAAGGCAAAGGAAGATATGATAGAATCGTAGTAGTGATATACAGATATATGTAAGGATTAATTGTGTATATGGCATAAAATAAGGATAAAAAGGAAGTCTCACAAATTGTTGAAGATGAAAATGTTTTTAATTGTTTTCTATCTTTTTCTTTCTATACTTTTTTTTTCTTTTTTTCTTTTTCTCTCTTTCATTTATGTATGTGTTGCTGGTCTATTTTAATTGTAAAATCAATAAAGTGTATTAAAAAAATACAAATGCACTACTGCAATAGATAGAAACAAATCCCTACTAGATCAATCAAAGCTGTTTATAAAATCAGTTTTCCCATGCTTCCAAAATTCAGCCAGCCCAAAAGTATATTTTATTACTACTTTCTGAATCTAAAATTAAGGTAGAGGTGAGATTTTTCTCTAACTCATATGCTGCTTTCTTCATGTCATGATATACTTAATATATTACTGAAATATAGAAGAGGAGGAGACCTTTATCACCTTTGTTTTTATTTTTGTTTTGGAAGTAATAAACAGAGATGTTATTAAGAAGAAACTCTGGTAAATTTCACTGTACTCTTGCACATGAGATTCAAATTACTCTAGAGCAATTTATCTCTTGAGAGATTAGGAACACCCATGGCTTTATGAAATTATTTAAGATATTAGTCTCTTCTATAATTTCTCTTCTAACACCCTTTTTATTGTTCCAAAGTATTTCTCAAAACAGAGATTTTATTTAGTTAATTAGTGGTAACTACTAACAGCATTATTCTTTATCCTTAATAGGAGATCCATATGGAACATTGTGTTAATTTGACGGATGTAGCTGTGGAAGCTGTCCTCACATACTGCCCTATGATATATATTCTGTTGTTTCATGGATGCCCACTCGTAACAGGTGACTTGAAATCTTGACTAGAGTAAGATGTTCACTGAAAACCACATCAAGTGGCATCAAAATGACATTACATGCATTATGATATCATGAGCCGCAGAATATTGTCATGTGCATGACATAACTTGGCTTTGAAAGGAAACATTTCTAACTTCTTTAAACGATATATTTAAAAATGGAAGTCAGTAAAGCAGGGTGAAGCATTAAATGCCCAATATCCTTTGTATTTTAGAACTACTATTACATTATCTAAAAGCCAGAGTGAGGTTAAAACAAGACTACTCCTATGATTGTAAAACTTTGTTTCCAGGAATAGGAAAGCCCTACTTAATGTCTTTAAATGTTTAAAGATATTAATATACTCAGACTTAAAGATATTAACCAAGTCAGATTTGCTGAGCACTCAAAAGAATGGCAACCTACACTAGAAGGAATAAGGGAAAGTTGAAAAAGGCATCACACAAGCCAAGACTTACTGTGTCTTTTGCATACACTGTCTAATTATAATTTGGTGGTATGCTTAAATACCACCATGAAGGAGATTTTCTAGAGATATTGGTGCTAATTCATTGGCAGAAGATATAATTATTAGATTTATTTATTTTACTTTGATTTATAACCTGCCTTTTGTACAGTAGCTCAAAGTAGTGTATATACTGCTCCTTCCTCCTAATTTTCCCCACAACAACCCTGTGAGGGAGGTTGGGGTGAGAGAGCAACTGATCCAAGTCCCACACTGAGCTGCCATCGCTAAGGGTTCACTAGAATCTGAGATACCCCATTAAGTACCATATCACACGGGTTCTTTTATTATTTTATTAGCTGATATTTACGGTATCTTTAGTTATCTTACTACTGGCTGATATTGCAGTTTTAACATTAAAATTCATATAATCTCAATAAGAAACAAGATTGTTCTCCTTTTCCAATAGTTTTTTCTTCCATTTCCATGGATGAGGATATAATATAATTATTAGGGACTATAATCGTATAATGAAAGGACCTATTATAGAAATTAATTAAGAATGTAATAATAGGAATAGATTCTTTCTTGAAACAAAAATGTGTCTTAAAAAACTGCTTTGTGAGGCTCTCCATGTCAGGAATGATCTAGGTTAGTGTTTTTCAACATGGCTGGCTGGGGAATTCTGAGAGTTGAAGTCCATCCATCTTCAAGTGGTGAAGGTTGAAAAACATTGATCTAAGTTGTAATTTCTGAGAGCTTGAACAACACAGCTAGCGATTACATCTTTAGTTCAGATATGAAAATCATTTTAAAGAGTTGATGGTCTGAGTTCAGGGAAAGATGAAAGATGGCACAGAATTTAGTCCACTCTTGCTTCAACGTTTTTGCATTCTCTATTATGCTTTCACCATTAAAGCACTTTAAGCCTTTCTTTTTTCACACCTTCTAGAACACTGGTATCAAACTCGCTGCATCATGTTGCCGTCACGTTATGTTTCGCAATGTTTTCCCCATTTGCTGAGCTAGGATGGGCGTGGCCTGCATGTGACACATCTGGCCCGCTGGCTGCCAGTTTGGGACCCCTGTTCTAGAACTATTCATTGAAACTTAAAGCATGTTTTCATTTTCAGAATTCCTGCTCTGGGGAACTCCTGCCATTAAGAGAGCCATAACATGCTTATAAAATATGCGGAGGATGAACACTTCATAAAAGCCAGCAAAATATCTAGTAAATGCAATCAATCAACATATTGAATTGGATTTTGGTTATTTATACACTGGTCTTGTAGAAAAATAGCTTGAAGCCCATTCTTTCCCACTACTATTTGTTTAGTTTTCAGCGTTCCAGGGAACCTCCATTCCTATCAGTAACTCCGAGACAAGCATAATCTCAAAAATACCTTTACTAGAATAGCACGTGGCACATCTGTGGAATTTCAAAACTAAACGTTTTCTGGACTTCCCACAATGTCCCAATCTACAAACCATCCCCTTTTCTCTCATCATCACATCACATGAACCAATCCCAAAGTAGGTTCCTCTTTATTTCTGCATCACATTCTATGACCTTGAACTAACGAAAGAATTCTATTTTGTCTACTTAGAGCTACTCAATAAGAATCACCCCCTCCCACTTTCTCAAGCTATGTGGCAGCGATGAATAAGGATTCCAAAGCTAACATTAGTCTTGTTCCCTGTCATAAACATTTCCTTAACCATAAAAATAAAAACTAAATATATTTTATTTGCAGATCGTTCCCGAGAAGCACTGGAGCAGCTCGTTGGACCCAAAAAATTCAAGCAAGTTTCATGGACTGTTTATTGATTTTTGTTTGAAATCATAAGGCATTACTTCATTTCCCCCCGCCCCCCCGGCAGACCATTTCTGAGTCTCTTCTGATTGTACATTTGCTGTTGATACTGTAGTCTCAAGTTGGAGAAGAACAAACAATGCTATTCATGTTTGTTTTTCTCCAAGTTGGATTGAATCAGTGTTCTGCATTTTTGTGTTCATGGAAGTTCGTGAAAGAGGGCTTTAGGGCTCTACTTCTTAAAAAGGACACTTTGTACCAATAAAGGACCAACAGTAAATAAGGAAATGCAAAAAGCAGAGCGAACACCAATAAGCTAATGAAGCAAATTTCATAGAAGCATCTTCTTGTGCTGCCTACTCTGTTGTCATTTAGGTGGAGACCAGTTCTATTTCTAGGTGTCCATTGTAACAGGAGCCATGATTTGTTTGTATCTGAATAAAACCTTCTTCAAATTGTACAGTGCATGCATTTCATTTAATTCTATTAATAACCAGTCATAAAATATGTTTGTAGAACTCAATATTGTCATTTTCAAGACAAAAAGCTAATGTGGGGCTTTGCTGATATCGCAGAATGGGATGCCATATTCCACTCTTATTAAGGAATTTGTTATTTATTTGATCTGTAACCTATTAAAGGCAAGTTATAATAACACTCACTGAAGTTTTATTTTTTGAAAGCTTTTGCCAAAATAAACATGTTAGTGTCTAAGCTGATGCAAGACTCTTGATTACTTTTCTTACACAAAACTAACATGAATACTTTTTGGAAAATATCCCACTAAGATATTATCATTGTCCTTAGTAATAAGAAAAATATTGACCAATTTGGATTTTGACATTCATTAGATAAATGTAATCTTCTATGTTTTCCCTTTACTATTAATCATTATTGAATAAGGATTTTGACATTCTTCCTAATCAAATAATATATAGGACAGCTTTAAGAATTCTCACCCAGCACTTTTTAGGGCAGTACGTGGGGTACAGTGAGATGAAACAGAAAATGCAAAGCTTGATCAAACCTATGTGAACAGTTATGTTGAAGCAGAAAGCAGCCTTTATGAACATATTCAGTAATTGCTTCTGTACAATAATAATTCACTTAATAAAAGTCAAGCCAGAATGATCCACTCATTTGCAAACATGAGTAATAGTGAAGTCATGCCAGAATGGATAAGATGCTATTCCATTTCAGACCAGGATGTTACATCTAATGTGTGCTACAGTGGCTGACCAGACATGATAGATAGGAACCAACAATTGAAGATCAAACATTTATTCTCATACCAGTTATTGTGACAAAAGGACAACTAGGCTTTAAAGCTGGTATAGACCTGTGCCTAATTGAAGGCCTCAAATTAACATATTAAAGTGTAGGCTGAGCTGATTTTGCAAGCATAGCAAAATATTTGCAATCTAGCTTCTGCAAAAACACATAATTGCAAGACAATTTTAGAGTTATTTTGGATCACAAATGTCTGGGACACTGAGGAAAAAAAGGAACTGAAAGTAGCAGATGATAAGCAAGTTGTCATATACCTACAAGTGGGTGTTATTTGATGATCAGTATGAGGGGATGGGGTACATCCAGTAAGATTACATACTACTGGGTGGGCTTCAGAAAAAGGGTATAAAAGGAGGAGTAAATCTTATATATCAGGGCCACTTGCTGGACTTAGCTGCTATCTCTGGACCTCATTGCAATGGGTTGTTAGTACTACCTTACTGAAATGCCGTTATGTTGGCTATTCATGTTCCAAATTGCTCATGAAATAAACCTGATCTCAATGTAAGATTTATTGCTTGTGGTTTGTCTGTGTATCTCTTTTACTGAATTATTTTTACAACACAGTAGATGCGTGTTATAGAATAGTATGAAAAGAAGGCCATGTCCCAGAGATCGAAATACAGCTAACTCCCAAAGTTTTCCCCATCCTAGATGTGTCATCCACTGACTACCCTGTATAGTGCCTGAATTTAGAAGTTTTATTAGATATAAAACAGCTCTACAAATAAAATTTATTTTAATTCGCATAGGCAGTATTGTGTGTCTTTTTAAAACAATGCATTCTCAAACCACAGGCAAAGTTTTTCATACTGTCGTCTTGTTCTAATATGGCTGCAAATAAAGTATTTTAAACATATTGGAATGTACACAGTGACAGAGGCTAAAATCTCAGTGTATGAGAATTGGAATTCAAGAGATTCAAAGTAACGTCAATTGATTTAATGTTTCCAAGACCTCTGAAAAATTAAGGCTGATAATTCCAGATAACAGTTTTGGTTGAACCGTTGTATTCTTCCGGTGATGATTTAGGGAGAGCATATTCACTAACTTTGTGCAACATTCTCTGAATACGGTTGGTCACAAAATAGGGTCTGCCAGGATCCCCGATCAGCAGTTCAGTCTTATAATCCTGGATGCACTTCTTCAACCATTCAGAGAGACTGTCTGCAAGCTCTTCACTGTAAAACATGTCCCCTAAGACAATAAGGTCCCATTTGCCTATATCGGTACCAATCAGGTTCTCTGTTAAGACTGGGATGGGATCTATGTTGTTCAGTTCACAGTTAAGCACCATGGCAGCACCTGCAACTGAGGCACCAAGAAAATAAAAGATCAGTGTCAACCTTATTTCTCTCAAAATCCCAAATTAACAATTTCATACAATTAGAATATTGGGAAATGTTTTTTTTTTTCTTTTTCAATTGCTGTAGCAAGGGTGCAGGAGAGACCTGACCAGTAGTGGTATGCTATCGGTTCGGATCGGTTCAGCTGAACCAGTAGTAAAAAGCCTCCGATCAGCTGAGAGGAGGAAAAAAGGATCAGCTGGGGGTGGGAGGGTCACTCCAAGCTTTTTGTTTCTTCATCCTCTCAGCTGATTGGCTTGTTAGGGGCGCCTGCGCAATCACCCACTGAACCGGTAGCGACTAAGGTGGGATCCTACTACGGGACCTGACAAATGTGACTTGAAATTTTGACGTAACCGTGTAAAATGTAAATTTTAGGTTACATTTCCTGTAAAAAAAATCTGATGCAAAGTAATGTTCTTGCTTCCTAGTAAAAGATATGCTTGCTGCTTGCCTTCCCACTTCATTCATATTAAGTCAGATGCATTCTCCTACATACAACACTTTGCCATCTCTGATTATTAGTTAAGTTTTTAAATGCACGACTTCAAAATAAGACCAATAGGTTTCCTATAGAGGACACCATAGTACCATTGCCTCATGTACCTCCAGATGGGAGAATAAGGTATTTGAAAGCCATTCTTTATATCAGTGTTTTTTAACCTTGGTAAATTAAAAATGTGTGGACTTCAATTCCCAGAATTCCCCAGTCAGCTGGGAGTTGAAGTCCACGCCTCTTAAAAAAGCTGCCACGGTTGAGAAACACTGCTATGTATATAGCACATGTTCCAGAACCTGCTAGGTATAGACACTACAGCATTTCTAGTACTCTTTCCATGGGAAGAGTCAAAAAAATACATGTTTGCTGAAGGAGATGAGCTGCTCTCTTATTTTAAAGGCATTTATGACAATGAAACCATCATATGGCCTATTAACCTTTAGCTTGGTTTGAGATAGGAATTCCGTTCTAACTCAGCATTGTCTCTTCTTTCTTTTTACCCACTTCCCATTGTGATTATAATTCTATTATGTGTGAGCTTGTTGAACAAACCATAGTTTAAGAATCCTGAGTTATCATTATGTGTAAATCTATGTAGACCTTTGGATTTCAAAGCATGCTTGACATTATGGTTTATCCTCATGAACTTAGCTTGTCCTACATTTGGTAGAAAATAGCTTACCAGGGTCAATATCATTTGCAACAACTTGTGATGCTCCACTTAGTATAGCTGCAATAGCTGTTGCTCCACAACCACTTCCTAGATCCAGAACTTTCTTCTTCTGGGCCACTTTTGGATTATCAAGAAGGTATCTGAAAATGAAGAATAGTAAAAAAAAAATGCCTGTTACAGTAATCAGCTCATTTCAAAATGCCTTAATTCAATCTGAAGTTTACATCTATAAGCAAAATGCTAAAAACTTTATCTTTTAATGTGAAAGTGCTTCATCATCAACTGGGTTGAAATTGTATGACAGTGACCAAGAGAAATTATGGTTGTTACAAATTTTTATTTTTACAAACCACACGTCCAGCTGAACTTCAAGAGAGTGAGCTTCTCATCTTGCAACAAGAATCATATTCATTGGATATGATATCATCAACAATTGGACAATTGAACAATTCAGCAATTTCACTGAAATGGTCTCGGTACTTCTATCCTGGACCGGAGGTCCAAAATCACCTCTTTTCAAAACTCATGATTATCTGAGATATTCAACCAAAACTATTGTGGTGCTTTACCTACAATGATCACCAGGGACAGTATGAACTGGCTTCAGCGTGTAAATTCTTTTTTCCCCCCAAAGATTTTATTTTTCAATATAAACATATTTTGTAGACAGTGTATTGAGTGGGTCAAATCTTTTTTAAACCACACTAACAATAATAACACGAATAAGTATGTGTAATTCTAATCTTATAGCTTCAGCAATGCTAGTCTCTTTTCATAATCCATTTATCATTTTCCCATTAATTTGTTTAAACATATATAACATTTCTTTGAGTTCTGTATTTGTTATCCCTAAATACTATTATTTAATATTTTTTAAGAATTACTCATTATTCCACTATAACTTCAATATTCCAAATGTGTAGGATTACTAATAATGCCAAATATTAACAATATTTAATCAATCCCAGGATTATCTCAAAATCCCACTTTTCTAGTCTTTCATATTTTAAATTCACAATATACTTTTAACACACTATTAATATTAATAATACAGTTTAATTACCTAATCCTAAATTCCCACCTATTGACTTATTTGGATTATAGTAAATTATATTATCTATTACATTACTATTTTCCCTGTATGTATTTTCCCATTTTATTAATATTTTCTCATCCATCATCTCTTAACCTGTTTAAAATTCCATCATTTATTGACTTTTTAGTCAGTCTTTTCTCTCTCTCTCTTGGAATCTTGTATCTCTTTTTGATTTTTTGGTGCCTACTGAATTTTCCCTTTTGAGTTCCCTTTTATCTCTTTCTGCTGTATTATTTTAACACCCATCAACAAGACTTCCCTTTGTTTTGTTTTTTTTAAAGAATTTTTTTCTTTTCTCTCTTCTGTTATAAGCTTTTGGGGGGTTGTATAATTGTCTTCTACTTATTAAGCCTTTCTCCTCTGTTTTGGACTTTTGGTGTCTCATTTTGATTTTCCCCTTCCACTGCTTTTTTCTAATTTCTATCTATTTCTTGAGTATCATGTTCTTTTTCACCCAATGGTTGTGTAACTTCTACATTCATTTCTGTATCTTTAAACAATCCCATTGTCACCTTATTGTCTTTTATAGATTCATGCATACCTTTTAACATAAACAGTACTTCTTCATATAACTCTTATCATCCCTTGTAAATCCATTTTATAGTAGTTTAATTTTTTTTATAAAAAGTATATTTCTATGATTCCAACATCTCGGTATTTAAAAACTGCTTAATAAAATTTCATCAATCCCAGAATTATACCTCCAAAACCACAAAACTCCAAATAAGACAAAACTGGCCACATACTGCCATCTGGTGGTCAATATAAGTAAAAGCAAAGCACAGGGTGTAGAATACATATGTAAAAATACAGAAATTATGAAAAAGAAAACCTTTTAAAAGGAGTTGTGGCAAAACTCATGTAAAAGCTTGTATGTGAGGGTATAATATTTGTAACATCCACATTTCTCTGGTATGAGAACTTAAGAAAAGGGAAGTAGATCATATATACCACTCTAAAGATAGACTCAACCAAATATAAAACAACATCAGATTTTCGAGGTTGGCTGAACACTATAAATCGGGTAGGACACATATAGCTTTGGGTCAGCAGGTTGCCTATCTGATTTCCTGAGTAAATCACAAATGGCTGGGTCCCAGAATAATTTTAGCAATAAGCTTTGGTTTACAACTCACACTGATTGTATTTATACAACTTTATAGTCACAAACAAATCACATATTGGTTAAATATGCTGCAGGAACCCAGTAAATATATTGTGTTAGTAGAAAGTCAGGGAGGCCATTAGATTGGGGAAGGTTGCCATACAAAGTTATATATTGTATGGGACAGTTTGAGTTCAAGAAAGGATCATCTATTTAAAGAACTGTGATGGTGCAGTAGTTAGAATGCAATATTATAAGCTAACTCACTGCTCATTGCCAGCAGTTCGATTCTGACCAGCTCAAAGTTGACTCAGCCTTCCATCCTTCCAAGATTGGTAAAATGAGGACCTATATTGTTGGGGACAATATGCTGACTCTAAACCACTTAGAGAGGGCTGTAAAGCACTGTGAAGCAGTACATAAGTCTAAGTGCTATTGCTATTTATTAGTTTGATGTTCTGTACAGGAACTGCTCAATCATTCTACCTCGTCCTTACAATAACAACCCTGTGCAATAGGTTGGGCTTAGAAAAAGCAATGAGACCAAGGATGCCAAATGAGCCTTCTGGCTTCTGGTTGAATACCTTAACCAGTTGACTACACAGGGCTTTCTTTGTTTAGAAAAACATTGTATTTTCAAGTAACACAAGACTAAGAAACTAGCCAGCACCAATTAAAGTTTCCTAATAGATAACAGATAACAGATAATCAGAGTTGGAAGGGACCTTGTAGGTCGTCTAGTCCAACCCCCCGCCCAAGCGGGAGACCCTATACCATTTCTGACAAATGGCAGTCCAATCTCTTCTTGAAAGTCTCAAGTGATGGCGCTCCCACAACTTCCGAGGGCAAGCTGTTCCATTGGTTGATTGTTCTCACTGTCAGAAAGTTTCTCCTTATTTCCAGGTTAAATCTCTCCTTGTTCAGTTTCCATCCATTGTTCCTTGTCTGGCCTACAGGCGCTTTAGAAAATAGATTGACCCCTTCCTCCCTGTGGCATGCCCTCAAATATTGGAAGACCGCTATCATGTCTGCCCTGGTTCTTCGTTTTACTAGACCAGCCAAGCCCAGTTCCTGCCACCTTTCATTTTATGTTTTAGCCTCCAGTCCCCTAATCATCCTGGTTGCTCTTCCTATTCCCAGAATTTAATAGTTCTGGGAATAGGGAATTATGGTATTCAAAAAAGGGGTGGAAATTCAGAACCTCAGGACTGCAAAATTTAAAGAATTTGGTAAACTCAACCCAAGATCTTGTGACATATAAGATTATCAAAATCTTTCAAGTCTTTGCTTTCTTTATTTGCTTCTATTTCATTTCAAGATTTGTAGGCATCGATTCTGAGATTGCCATTCTCACAACTATTGAAACAGGGATTAAGCCTAGTATGGATGTAGCTATATTGTCTCTGAAGACTTGAAGTCATTGTTCAGTTGTACTTCTAAATCCAGTCCTTAACTTGGATGTATGATTTCAAAAGGACACAACTGCTCCAAAAGATATAATCCATCACAATGATTTATGCAATAAATTCAACTTATTTGAACAATGATTGTTTATTGTACCCTGTGACTTTTATTAAGTCTTATACTTTATGATTCTTGACTCTTAACGAATGTATCTTTTCTTTTATGTATACTGAGAGCATTTGCACCAAGACAAATTTGTTGTGTGTCCAATCACACTTGGCCAATAAAGAATTCAATTCAATTCAATTCAATTCAATTCAATTCAATTCAATTCTATTCTATTCTATTCTATTCTATTCTATTCTATTCTATGTAGCCCCTATAATAGGTGGCCTATGAAAAATGCCTGGAAACCTCAATGGTCCACAATGCTGTAGCTAATTTAATAATTGGATGCAATGATAGATGGCATATAGTTTCTTTGTTAATCTAATACCACGGGCAACGGTCCATATTTGGGATACCATTCCATGTATTGATTATGAGATTTAGGCTGGGTTTGCATCACACTCATCTATCAAGATTGTATCTTAGTGTGATATGCAAATCCAGCATGTAGTAAGTTTATTACTCAGTTCACCTTCCCCAACTTGAACATCTTCCCAATGGGTGGACTTCAACACCCCGAATTCTCCACCCAACATGATCAGTATTAAGAACTATGACTGTTTCAGATGACGAAGGGCAATTTATTTGAAGAAAACTCATTCAGGGTATCAGTAGAACTGAGAAACAAAGTCCTATGTGACTTGGGATAAGGAACCTGTTGTATACTAATATGCCTCAGGCTTTATAATATACCATTAGGGGAGACCAGGTGAGGTCTGTTTTTACTATCCTTTAGCATGCTGTTATAGCATCATTTAATTCACCTTCCTATTAAACTGATTGCACAGCAGGTAAATCTCAACTTTCTGGGTGTTCTATATACCTGGATAGTCCTTGGCCTCCTGGCCAGTACATTGCCCAGTAGGGCTCCCCATAAGGCCACAAAGCAGCTTTGTCATGCCAAAATCTGCAATTAGGCGTCAGAAGACGTAATCTTATTTCTGGAGTCAGGTTTCCACTGTCAATGATTTCAGTATTCTGCTCTAAGAACATTCTCAGCTCGGGATCTACATGTCTTCCTGAAGCTCTTCCACGGTAGCACCTCCACACCAAACAGCCTCTCTGTTTCTGCTTCAAGTCTTTTCTAAAGCTGGCCCTACCACAAAAGTGTAGCAATCTTCTCCAGCCGAGGAAAACCATGTGTCCTTTTCCCTCTAGGCCAATGTCTTCCCAACTTCAATATAGACCTTTAAAAACATTTGCCTGGAGCATGTCAAGATTCTCTAGTGTCAGTCTGGGAATGAGGAGATCTCGCAATTCTGGCTTTCAGAAAGAATGGGCAATGTTCCTGAAAACAGAAGAACAGATTTTTCAGTTCCTGAAAAGAAAAGATTTTTACTACACAGATTGTTATAGGTTAATTACTTAGATGAAAATTAAGGTAGGCTGTACCTCCTGCGAGACTGGCTAAGATGTTCTCCAACCTACCACCCAACTGTTGGAAATGTAACTATGCACAAGGAACAGGTTCTCTTTTCATTATAAACCCACTACAGATAATTATGTCTTCCTATGTATCTTACAAATGTTTTATTTGTGTCAGAATCAAAAATTGGGGATGGGTGTGTAGTTCAAAGGCCACATGGAAATCTTGTTGAAAGGGAGCATGGAGAAAGTAAACGTTGTCAAATAAAAATTGTACATTTCCAGAACAGAAAAAAAGGCTTTAAAAAATCCCATGCAATTCATTTTTAGTTCTTTATCGCCACCTCCTCCCTTAAGGCTCTTTTATTTTAGAACAGAAAAAGTCCTTCCACACAAGCTTCATGCTTAACATGGACATATCCATGTCATTCTCTTGGCAGCAATACAGAATTCTAAGTCTCTCCCTCTCCCCAACATCCTAGTTAACTTTATAACTCCGAGATTTCCTGGTGATTTCTAATCCAAGAACTGGAAGAGATCAACTAGATGTATTGATACTGGTTTTACCTGTACATGTATCTCTTTCCTTTCCTTTAGGTGCATAGTCTATAAAACACGATATTTCTGTGTAATTAATTAATATCCACCTTTATGGCAAACATATCAAATACATCTTCCTATTTTCCTCCAAACAACAACTTTGTGAGGTAAAATGGCTAAGGAGGAACTTGAACTCGTGGTCTCCTTACATTCTAGCCTGGTGCCTTAACCATTAGACCAAACTGGCTGGTAATGATTAAAAATATAGTACAGAATTAAGCAAGCATTTATTTTAGACATAGAAGAATTAAACTCTTTCTGTTCTAGTCTATTCTGTTATTCTGTTAACTCTATTTTATCCTGTCGTTGGAATGAAACAAGGTATAAAATGGGATGATCTTTCTCATCTACAATACACAACATCCTTAACCTTGGGTTGTCTTATCTTTGACAAGAGGAGGGAAAGCACTCCAAGGACAAGATCAGATAAACTTATCCTCCCTTCCTTTGGCAAAAAGCAAGTGAGAAAAAGTAATGTGTGTGATCCAGATGTGGTTATATATTGAGTCTACATACACTGGTTGGAAACCTCCATAAGGTGGAATTTCATTACGCATATAATTGGAAATATCAGAGGGTTTGCTTCCCAACATACCTTTGGGGTTTTCTGACTGGCAGGAAGGACATAAAAGTTTTTAAAAATTGTACTCTATTCATTAGTGCAGTGTTTCTCAATCTTGGCAACTTGAAGAAGTGTGGACTTCAATTCCCAGAATTCCCCAGCCAGCAAGAAGAGGATTGTTAGGAATCTGTCCAACAATTAGTTGGGTTGGCAATATATAAACCAACAATGCATGTTTTGTAGCTTTAAGACAAAATCACTGTATTGATTCGAATTGTTTGATTGCATTGTGAATTGCCATAAGAGGGAGCTAGAGATCACGGCTTGCTCTCTCTGACATTCTGTATCTCTGACATTCTGTTTCTCTGACATTCTGTCTGACATTCTGTTGCTATCTAAGGTTTCTGTTGCTGTGATTATACTTTGATATCTTTGTTTACTGTAAATGACAAAGGCAACCTGTAAGAAGATTTTGTAATTGGATATTCTTTGGACTAATAAACATATACTATCTGGACCGTTTATTGAGCTGTGCTATTTCTTAAAGTAAACTTTAACTCAATTCACTGTAGCTGTGTGTGGCTGAATAATTATTCATAACTACTCTCATAAACATTTCCATGTGCATATCCTTGTTACTCAAGGGTTATTCTGTACATATCATAACAAGGATGACTAGCAGCAAAGTGGCTGGACTCAGATACAGTGGTACCATTGGGAAACTTGAAAAGGCCACATTATGAATAGATCTTCATGGAGATTTTCTATCTATGTCAGAGGTGTCAAACTGGCAGCCCGCAGGCCAGATGTGACACGCACTGGCCACGCTCAGGCCCAGTTTAATGAAGGATTTTTTTCCATGATACATCATGTGATGCCACTGCGATGAGTTTGACACCCCTAATCTATGTGGTTGCTAGGAGTCACAAATGATGTCATTTCCTGAGAACTGACAGAGATTTGCAAAAGCTTTAATCTGCGCAGAAGAAAAGACCAAGAGCAGGGGTGGGCAACTATGGCCCTTTTATGACTTGTGGACTTCAACTCCCAGAATTCCTGAGCAAGCCATGCTAGCTCAGGAATTTTGGGAGTTGAAGTCCACAAGTCATAAAGGGGCCATAGTTGCCCACCTCTGACCAAGAGGGATCATTCCCATGAGGCCTGTGCAAAAGCCACTCCCAACAGTACAGGTAGTCCTCAACTTACGATCCCTATTGAGCCCAAAATTTATGTTCTTAAGTGAATTTGTCCCATTTCACAACTGCAGAAAAAACAATTGCTTCCAAACTGCTTTCCATTGAGGACCTGTATATTGCAAAAAGAGGGCTGTGAAAATATTTACAGACCCTAACATAAACCATTTCAACTCCTTCCCTCAAAACGACGCTGTTCTGCACATCAGAACAACTAGACACAAGGATAGTTTTTTCCCCGAACGCCATCACTCCGCTAAACGAATAATTCCCTCAACACTGCCCAACTATTTACAAAGTCTGCACTATTATTACTATTAATCTTCTCATTCTTCTTTATTACTATCCCCTCCCACTTGTGACTATATGACTGTAACTTTGTCTCTTGTATCCTTACGATTTATACTGACTGTTTCCTAGTATGATTTGATTGCTTATTGTATCCTATGACTATAATTAAGTGTTGTACCTTAACTCTTGATGAATATATCTTTTCTTTTATGTACACTGAGAGCATTTGCACGAAGACAATTCCTTGTGTGTCCAATCATACTTGGCCAATAAAGAATTCTATCTATTCTATTCAACATGTATTTTAAGCACAGATTGAGGGTCATGATAGCATTGGAGTTTGGGTAATGGAACATCTGCAAGAAAACAAGCAAGTTCAGAGAGCACAAGGACCCCTCATGTCAACCCTGAGCTACAAATAATGTCCTTTATTAGTTCTTCAGATTTCCTGTTCACGCCTTGTCCCATGTCACATGTCTACATTTGGGGTTCCGTTTCAGCAAGTGTTTGCTAAGGATTTAGCTAGTGAAATTGTTTCTATTCCTCTCTATGCGTGAACAATTAGTTAACTTCAATGCCGCAATGGTTATGTACCCAAAGGCCAAAAAATCCAAAGTTAGGAGAAGGTCTTAGAATACGGAGATTTCTTACCTTTCCTTCACATCTTCAATCAATAAGCATTTCTCACAGTGATGGACATACAAGCACACAACCATATTGCCCATTCATGGTTTCCATTCCATTCCATAATTCACCAGACACAGCCACCATCAGAAGGAAGCAGGGCTAAACTGTACTTGGTACCCAGCTGTAAATATGAATTAGCTTCTCAAGTTTCTACAACTATAATTAGGGCATACAAAACCTTTGCCAGACCAATTCACGAATACAGCTCGTTCGCCTGGAACCCACACTGTATATTGGACATTAACACGACCGAGTGGGTTCAAAGGTATTTCTCAAGAAGAGTACTCCACTCCTCTACTCACAATAGTATTCCCTATGCCTCCAGGCTTAAAATTTTGGCCTTGGACAATCTTGAACTGCGCTGCCTGCAGTTCAATCTAAGGATCGTTCACAAAATTGTCTGCTATAACATCTTGCCCATCAGCGACTTCTTCAGCTTCAATCACAATAATACACAGGCAAACAACCGATACAAACTCAAGGCAAACTGCTCCAAACTTGATTGCAGAAAATACGACTTCAGCAACAGAGTGGTCAACACCTGGAACACCCTACCCGACTCCGTTGTTACAGCCTCAACCCCTCACAGCTTCAACCACAAACTCTCTACTGTGGACCTCACCCCATTCCTAAGAGGTCCTTAAAGGGGGTGTGCATAAGCGCACCAGCATGCCTACTGTCCCTGTTTTACTGTCCCCATTTATCTTTATTTACTCCCTTGTTCTTGTTTATGTTCATACCTATACTTGTTATCTTGTACATGTTTGACAAATACACACAAACTTTTGTTTCTTTGGATTGAAACTGCTGCCTCTCAGAAAAACCAGAACAAAACAAGAGATTAACCCATTATATTGAATTCAAACTCTGTTTTTCTCTATTGCATTACAAAATGCTTAAGTGTTGTTTATCCTGTGCATTAAAGTCACATGTAAAAAATGGAAAGCGTCAGTACATTAGGCAAATAATTTCTAATCCCTCCCTGGTCCCCTCCAGCTTCCTTTCTCTTGTCAAAAGAGGGAAAATATTTGACGACAAATGTTTCTTTAAAACAATATGGTGAATTCGAAGACTAAGAAAAATAAATAAATAAGCCTGGAGCCGCAGCGATTACAAATGTGGTTTCTTCCTTTATATTCAAATGATTTGGGGGGAAGGGAGAAGGAGGTTATACTAACAATGCGACCCCCCCCCCAAAAAAAACACCAATACCAGTTCTTGTTAATTCGGAGTTATAAAATATGAATATGAATAAAATTGACCTGGCTTGATTCTGAGATTGGTTAAACGCCGCAGGTATTAGAAAAGATCCCGGCTCCTCCCTCGTTTTGCGAGTTAGATCTGTGTTTCTCGACCCCGGGACGGGTGGACTTCAACACCCAGAATTCCCCAGCCAGCAATGTTCATTAATTTGGCTGGCTAGGGAACTTTGGGAGTTGAAGTCCACACACTTCTTTAAACTGGCTGGTGACGAAGGCAACCGGTTTTCCATTCAGGAGCCGCCTTCAGCGGACATGCGGACAAAGCGACTGGGAGCCCCGGCGCTGCAATCCCGGCGGTGCCTTGCTTTTCAAAAGGCCTCAGGTTCAATTGGGAACCGGAAGTGTTAGGTTTGTGTTCCTGCCTGTTAGCTTCTCTTCGTCCCGTGGTGTAGATTCGACCCACCTATTTCCTTCTAAGTAGTTTCCCTCTGTGGGTTCCTTGCATAGGATTGGGATTATAAATCTGTAGAGATTCTGTCATCCAGGTCATAGTTGTCCCAAAGGTGCTTTTTCAGGAGGCAACTGGGCTTTCTGGTTTTTTTCTTTGAAGACGTTTCGTTTCTCATCTAAGAAGCTGCTTCAGCTCTGATTCCCAAACCATCCAGTCAGAGCTGAAGAAGCTTCTTGGATGAGAAGCGAAACGTCTTCAACAGAAAAAACAAGGAAGTCTGGTTACCTCCTGAAAAAGCACCTTTGGGATTGGGATTGTAGCTCCCATCATTCTTAGCCAGCAGCTTATTGGTTGTGGTAGTTGAAGAAGCATGGGCTGGGATAGAAATTATAAATTAACCATGTCAGTAGCATATAAAGAAAACTTATATAAGATGTTTTACAGATGGCATTTTGCACCGGCGAGACTGGCAAAGATGTTTAAAGATAAATCAGCCAATTGTTGGAAATGCTATCAGACACCCGGAACACATGTAGTCATGTAACTGAAGCTGAGAGATATTGGACAAAAATACACATCTGGTTGGAAAAGATTATAAAACAA